CGAGGACAGAAGGACGCAACTGTTTTTAAACCCTAAACCCTAAACCCTAACCCTAAACCCTAAACCCTAAACCCTCTTCTGGGCAGCCCAGGGCCACAGGCAAGGCCAAGCTACGCGCATGAAGGGAGACGAAATGGAGACCCAAGCGGAGACAAGCAGGAGGCCACATGAGAGACAAGCGGAGACAAGGAGCCCAGGGTCCCGGACGAGGCCACCCACGTGAAGGGAGACCAGAAGAGACAAGCGGAGACAAGTAGCCCAGGAAGGGAGATAAAGGAAGAGAAGCGGAGACCAGCAGCAGGGACCCGGGCGAGGGCCGGCCCGAAACCCTAAACCGTAAACCCTGAATCCTAAGCCCAAAACCCCTTGTGACCAGCCTGGAGCCGCCTTCTTCTTCTTCCTCTTGTCCTTGAGCTTCTGCCGCTTCTTGGGTCTCTCCTCCTCGAATCGGTGGGATGACGCTTGTTGGGTGTAGGGTTTAGGGTTTAGGGTTTAGGGTTTGGGGTTTAGGGTTTAGGGTTTAGGGTTTAGGCTTTAGGGTTTAGGCTTTAGGGTTTAGGCTTTAGAAATCTTCCCAAACCCCAAATCAAATCGTACCACCTCACCCCTCAATCCCTCAACTATCCGTAAGCCCCTAAACCCTTAACCCTCAAACCCCAAACTTTCAATCGTGGGTATAGGCCTTCGAGGTTCGGGCATTGATTAAACGATTTAGGGTTTTTTTCGGGGCTTGGGGTTTCTTCGTCAAGGGGTTAGGGTTGAAAAGGGTCAGCGACTTGGATTTAGGTCTAGTTTTGGGGGCGGCAGCCCTGAACGCCAGAATCCCAAACTCCAAGCCCTTGTATATAAAGACACAAGCCCGTAAATCCTAAACCCAACAGCTCTCGTCCCGTAACCCAAACACCCCGAACCCAGCATTTAAGCCCCTTAGGCCCTGCAAGGTTCAGGATTTAAGGTTTTAGGAGCAGGGTAAGGAGTGCTCTTCCTTGTCACAGCCGGATTTGTGGGGATCTAACCATTCTCCCCTAAACCCTAAACCCTAAACCCTAAACCCTAAACCCTAAACCCTAAACCCTAAACCCTGAACCCTGAACCCTAAACCTAAACCCGGCTGTCTATTGAACTGTCAAGTTCCTCCTCGTCGCTGCTGTCGACCTCCTCATCCTGCTCGCCCTCCTCGGCTTTCAGGCCGGCCTCCGCCTGGAAAATCAGGGTTTAGGGTTTAGGGTTTGGGGTTTAGGGTTTAGGGTTTGGGGTTTGGGGTTTGGGGTTTAGGGTTTAGGGTTTAGGGTTTAGGGTTTAGGGTTTCGGGTTTCGGGTTTAGGGTTTAGGGTTTAGGGTTAGGTTTTAGGGTTTAGGTCTGAAGCGCGCGGCACACGGGCGCCTCCCCGAAGATCTCGGCCCAGCTCTCACCCGCCAGCAGCCGCCGAGCCTCCTGGGCCGAGAGTCTACCCTAAACCCTAAACCCTAAACCCTAAACCCTAAACCCTAAACCCTAAACCCTAAACCCTAAACCCTAAACCCTGAACCCTGAACCCTAAACCTAAACCCTAAACCCTAAACCTGAACCCAAACCCTAACCCCCAAACCCTAAACCGAAGAGGGTTTCGGGGGGAGGGGCTCCTAGGTTCAGTGATTCATAGGAATCCCTAGACCCTAAACCCAAGAGGGTTTTGGGTTGAAGGAGACTCCTAGGTTCAGACCCTAAACCCTAAACCCTAAACCCTAAACCCTAAACCCTAAACCCCAAATGCATGGCCGGCCTCGGTGGACCAGAGCATCACCGAGGGCTTGCCGTGGGCCGTAGAGGCCAGCAACTTGGCATCCTGGACGCGTCGGAGTGAGGGTTTAGGGTTTAGGGCTAGGGTTTCCCTACGCAGCGCGCCCCTGAGCAGATTCGCTTGCAGCAAAACACCTGGGCGCAAACCTTGATTTCGTGGCACCCCTAAGCCCTAAACCCCAAACCCCAAACCCCAAACCCCAAACCCCAAACCCTAAACCCTAAACCCTAAACGCAGGGCCCAGATGCTCGGGCCCCGGCTGGGGACAGGGCCAGGCGCTCCATAGGGTACTCGGCACTCCCATGCCTGTCTTTGGCGTAGGGTTTAGGGTTTAGGGTTTGGGGTTTAGGGTTTAGGGTTTAGGGTTTAGGGTTTAGGGTTTAGGGCTTAGGGCTTAGGGCTTAGGGCTTAGGGCTTCGGGCTTAGGGCTTAGGGCTCAGGGCTTGGGGCTTGGGGTTTGGGAGTTTAGGGCCTGAGGTTTAGGAAGTAGGCACCACGGCCCTACACTCCACCTGAAGCCCGGACACCCGAAGCCCTAACCATCCTCAACCACGAATCCCAACCACCTCGCGCACGAAAGCAAAAACAACATCCACCCCAAACCCTAAACCCTAAAACCATAAACCCTAAACCCCAAACGCTAAACCCTAAACCCTAAACCCTAAACCCCAAACCCTAAAACCCTAAAAACCTTGAGCAACCTCGAACCCAAAACCTCTAACTCTACACCCGGCCCTGGAGCCCCTAGCGCAAAGTATTGAAACCCTATAGATAAACCCTAAACCCTCAACCCTAAATCCTAAACCTTAAACCTTAAACCCTAAACCCCAAACCCATATACACCTCCCCCCTCCCTACGTGCTAAACCCCGAACTACGGCAAAAGCCTAAGCCACCCAGACCCGGAAGCCCCTTAGAGTGTAGGGTTTAGGGTTTAGGGCTTAGGGTTTAGGGCTTAGGGTTTAGGATTTAGGGTTCAATTCCAAAAAACCAAATTGCAAGCCCTAAACACGAAACCCTCAACCCTAAATCCTAACCCCTAAACCCCAAACCCATCACACCTCCCCCCTCCCTACGTGCTAACCTAAACCCTAAACCCCAAACCCTAAACCCTAAACTCTAAATCCTAAACCCTAAACCCTAAACCCTAAACCCTAAACCTCCGAGCTAAAGCAAAAACCCAAGAAAGTGGGCCGCCCGACTCGCCCAGCAGGCCCAAGACGCCACTTCCCAGGCCTCGATGAGTTTAGGGTTTAGGGTTTAGGGTTTAGGGTTTAGGGTTTAGGGTTTAGGGTTTAGGGTTTAGGGTGTAGGGTGTAGGGTGTAGGGTTTAGGGCTGTTAGGGCCTATAGGGCTGAAAGGCTAGAGGGTTTGTAGGGCTTATAGGGCCTATGAAGGCTTATGTGCTTTTAGGGCAGGGTTTGTGGCTTTATGGGATTTGTAGGGCTCATCGGTCTGATAGGGCTTGTAGGGCTTCTAGGGCTTCTAGGGCTTCCAGGGCTTGTTTCTTGGGCTTGGAGCTTGCGCTGTGTTGGGGGGGCATGTAAGGCAGATCGGGCAGGTAGGGTTTATGGTTTAGGGTTTAGGGTTTAGGGTTTAGGGTTTAGGGTTTAGGGTTTAGGGTTTAGGGTTTGGGGTTTGGGGTTTAGGGTTTCGGGTTTCGGGTTTCGGGTTTAGGGTTTAGGGTTTAGGGTTTAGGGTTTAGGGTTTAGGGTTTAGGGTTTAGGGTTTAGGGTTTAGGGTTTAGGGTTTAGGGTTTAGGGTTTAGGGAACTCCGAAGGCATCGCGGCTGCTTCGGGTGCCGTGGTGCCCTCGGGTGCCTGTGGGGGTGTAGGCCTTTGGGCTTTGGGTTGAATACCTTAGGACGGCCCTTTAAAAAAGGCCCTCTGAAAAATATTCCGACATGTACTGCCCGTAGACCCAACAAAAGACAATCCCGAGAAGTTGCCTAGCAAAAGGTTTGGGGCATAGGGTTTAGTGTTTAGGGTTTGGGGCTTAGCGTTTTGAAGCTTTGGGCTGAGGGTTGAAGGCGCTTTGAAGGTTGTTATGGTCCAGTTTTCCCCATCAGAAAGAAAGGGTGCCCACCTTATCTTGTCTAGTGGGCCCTAAACCCTAAACCCTAAACCCTAAACCCTAAACCCGAAACCCTAAACCCTTAACCCTAAACCCTAAACCCAAGGAACCTGGCCCACGACCAAAAACGGGTGTGTGTGTGTGTGTCACGGACCTAACGTCCCAGAGCCCAAACCCCAAAGGCCTCAATCGTCAGTCTTACAACAACCCCAAAACCCCAACACTTCCTGAACCCCACTCCTGAAACAAACCCGAAGCCCTAAAAAGCGACGCCATAAGCAGACCCTAAAGCAAAGACCAGTGCCCCAAAATGACAGAAGCGCGCCGTTGCCCGCACTGAAGTGAGGACCCAGAATCTCCAAAATGAGAGGCCCTCTGATGCTTTTGGGCTTCAAAAAAAAGTTTAAGCACTGAACCCCAAACCCTAAACCCTAAACTCCAGAATAGAAGTATGGAAGTTAAAGCCCAATTCAGGCTTGGGGGGGCCGGGAAGGGGGGTGGGCGGGCGTAAGAATGGGCACTTCAATCCTGAATGGTCCAAAGCAAGCTGGGAGGGTTTGGAGTGTAGAGCTTAAGGGCGCGGAAGGTCCAAAAGCACCTGAGGGTTTAGGGTTTGGGGGGTAGGGTTTAGGGTTTAGGGTTTAGGGTTTAGGGTTTAGGGTTTAGGGTTTAGGGTTTAGGGTTTAGGGTTTAGGGTTCAGGGTTCAGGGTTTAGGGATACTCGGTACAAGCCATGTTTTTGCCCGTGTCGAAGGGCTCGAATATGTTCGGAAACTCGTTAGCACACGCCGCAGACGGCCGAAACCAGACTTGTGCTTTTAAGTCAGGCCTGGTTCGGGCCTGGGTTTAGGGTTTAGGGTTTAGGGTTTAGGGTTTAGGGTTTAGGGTTTAGGGTTTAGGGTTTAGGGTTTAGGGTTTAGGGTTTAGGGTTTAGGGGGTTTAGGGTTTAGGGTTTAGGGTTTAGGGTTTAGGGTTTAGGGTTTAGGGTTTAGTTTAGGGTTTAGGGGTTTAGGGGTTTAGGGGTTTAGGGGTTTAGGGGGTTTAGGGTTTAGGGTTTGGGGCTTAGGGTTTAGGGTTTAGGGTCTAGAGTTTAGGGTTTAGGGTTTAGGGTTTAGAGCTTAAGGTTGAGGGCTTGGGTTTATAGGATTCAGGGGTGCCTGCTCCTTGTCGCTACCACTCTCAGATGCGAAAAGCTGCACCATCTCCTCGGCTCTCAATCGCCCATTCCGCCACCCTAAACCTTTAGGGTTTAGGGTTTAGGGTTTGGGGTTTGGGGTTTAGGGTTTAGGGTTTAGGGTTTAGGGTTTAAGGTTTAAGGTTCCCTCAAAAAACCACAACGAACGGAAAGCTATAACCTTCAGTTTGTCTGAAAAGGACGATCGACAGAAGGCACCTTCTGAGTAAGACTAAACCCTGGACCCTGAACCCTAAACCCTAATACCTGAACCCTAAACCCTAAACCCTAAACCCCAAACCCTAAACCCTAAACCCCAAACCCCAAACCCCAAACCCCAAACCCTAAACCCTAAACCCTAAACCCTAAACCCTAAACCCTCGAAATTGCCGTTGCGGATTGCGGTGTCGAGGGGCGCCTCACCGTCGCACCAGCGCCTCTTCTCCTTGCGAGCCCCGGCTTCCAGCAAAATCCGTCCCATTCCTCGGCACTGGCTTATGGCTTTCAGGCCCGAAGCCTTAAACCCTAATTAAACCCGAAACATGAGGGTTTAAGGGGGTACCTCTCTACACATTTGAGCCAGGCAGGATTCGGCTGTCGGGTCTAGGGTTTGCTCAGTGCACACATGCTGCTTTTGCTTGATGGATGCATATGGCTAGTTTCAGGGGGAATTGGGAAAAAAACCCTAAACCCTAAACCCTACACCCTAAACCCTAAACCCTAAACCACGATTGCTCTAACGTCTAACCGAGTTTCCACAGTGGCCGAAGCTGCAAGCCCAGTGCAGAGCTGTCGAGCCGGCAACATCGGTCGCATCCGGATTCGCGCGAGCTGCAAGAAGTGCACGGAGTGCCTTGGAGCACCCTAAACCCTAAACCGTAAACCCTAAACCCTGAACCCTAAACCCTAAACCCTAAACCCTAAACCCTAAACCCTAAACCCTAAACCCTAAACCGCTGCAGGGCGTTTAAGTGGCTGGATTTTTGCAGAAACCGGTAGGAAACGATGCTTATAAGCTACTCACGTTACGTCCACGTTGTAGTGGTGGATGGCCACATGCAGTGGTGTTGCACCACATGAGTTCTTCCGCTCCGTGCAGGAACGCCCCGCAGCCTCAATCAGAATGCGAGCAACCTCACTCCCCTCGCCGGAGTCGAGCTTGCGACTGCATGCCCAGTGGAGCAAAGTCGAGCCTTTCGAATCGACGGCGGTGGTTGTGGCACCCGCCTCGACGAGGGCCCGAACGATCGCTGCATCATGGGCGCGGCATGCCTTCTGCAGGCACGTCTTGCCTATACAGAACTTGGAGCCGTTTCAAAAGCATATGTATCCTGGTTCTTACGAATTAAAAGTACCCAACAATATTATGTGAAAAAAAGTATTCCCAAGTATACCTAGTTGCCCTTGGAATCAACTGCCTCTACATCAGCGCCCGCATCGATCAGCGCGCGGGCCAGCGCAGCATTGTCCGACTTGCCCTTTCCACAGACAAGATGAAGAATCGTCAGCCCAGTCGAACTCTTGGATTTGAGCTCGTACTTGTATGTGAGGTCGGCGCCCGCCTCGGCCAGAAGCTGGACCATTCCCATCTGGTTCCTGTTCCACGCGGTGATTATGGGCGTGCATCCTTGCGCATTGCGAAGATCCACCTCAGCGCCAGCCTCGATCAGGGCCTGTGCGACGTCAAGCTGGCCGTGGCTGCAGGCCACGTGGAGCGGTGGAGCAGCAAGTGCATCAGGCAGGCTTGTGCTGGCGCCAGCTTCCAGAAACAGCCTCAGGCACCTCATGCTGCCGTGCTGGGCGGCCACACAAAGCCCGGTGCTTGCAGGGGCCAGCAGCATGTCCGGATCCTCGGGACGCTTCAGTAGAGCCTCGATGACATTAGCCCTGTCCTCTTCGATACTGAGCCTGACAGCAACGCGCTGGGAGTCGGTCAGGTTGGTGTCGCGGTACGGTAGCAAAACCAACTGCAGGGACATGGGCGGCTGCAACGTGGCGGTGTCATGCAGGACGCAATCTTGGAGCATGAGCCGCTGACAGAATCGGGAATGCCCCATGCGCGACTGCAATAGTTTCTTGAGGCTCTGGATGGAGTTACCTATACTGAACTTGGAACCCCAGCAAAAATTAAATGATTTTACGTAGCTGTTTCTTAGGAATTATAGTACCCCAGCGCAAAGTTCATTTCAGCTGTTTCTTAGGAATTATCTTAGGAACTATGGTACCTTAGCATCATGAAACTGTTCCCAAGTATCCCGAAGTTACCCCATGTCTCAATGATCTCCTCCAGTTGCTCTGTGCCGACGTCTGCAACCTTGTTGCCAGACGACAGGTAAACCACCAACCTGTCTGCGGAGCCGTCCATGGGCAATCGCCGCTATACCCTTCCTGCCGTACTTGATCCTCGCAGAAGGGAAGCCAAGGCTAAAGTAAACCCTGAACCCTAAACCCTAAGCCCTAAGCCCTAATGCCCAAGAGAGTCACATCCTTCAAAACCCTCCATACCCCAACGCCTAAAGCCCAAAATGCCAAAACCACGCTTTGCTGACTGAAGGTTTTTGGGGTTTAGGGGTTTAGGGTTTTAGGGTTTAGGGTTTAGGGTTTAGGGTTTAGGGTTTGGAGTTTAGGGTTTAGGGTTTAGGGTTTAGGGTTCAGGGTTTAGGGTTTGGGGTTTGGGTCGACCTGCACATGCCCTCCCAAGTGTGGTCACACCCTCGGCTTGACAGGGCACTCCCTAAGGTGCTCCCCGAAACTCCCGAACCCTAAACCCTAAACCCTAAACCCTAAACCCTAAACCCTAAAACCCTAAAACCCTAAACCCTAAAACCCTACAACCCTAAAACCCTAAAACCCCTAAACCCTAAAACCCTCAAACCTAAAAACCTAAAAACCTAGAGCCCGAAAACCCGAAACCCTACACCCTAAAAACCTAAACCCTAAACCCGAAAACCCGAAAACCCTAACACCCCAAACCCTAAACCCCAAACCCCAAACCCTAAACCCTAAACCCTAAACCCTTAACCCTAAACCCTAAACCAACATTTTGGGGATCCCCGCGCTTGCTGTGGACGGCGACCACGCGGATCTTGCCGTCCGAGGAGCCAGTGAGGATGCCATCCTGACAGGGTGCCGCGCTGGCTCTCTCTTGCTTGTCGGTTTAGGGTTTAGGGTTTAGGGTTTAGGGTTTTGGGTTTAGGGTTTAGGGTTCAGGGCTTAGGGTTTAGGGTTCAGGGTTTAGGGTTTATCGGGCTTCAGGGGACGGGGTGGTGGTTGAGCTTAGGGTTTAGGGTTTAGGGTTTAGGGTTTAGGGTTTAGGGTGTAGGGTGTAGGGTTTAGGGTTTAGGGTTTACAGTAGGGTTTAGGCTTTAGGCTTTAGGCTTTAGGCTTTAGGCTTTAGGCTTTAGGCTTTAGGCTTTAAACGCCTGAACCCTTAAGCCCATCTAACCCAAAACCCAAGACCCCGAAACCCTTAAAGGACCGTGGAAGCGCGTAAAACCCCAACAAGCCCTAAACCCTAATCCCTAGAATCCGTTACTGCCCCCCCACATCAAGTCAAACTCTAACGCCCTAAACCCTGAACCATTCTAATTAATTGCGTTGAGGGCTTTTTGGGGTGTTAAAGGTTTTTTGAACTCCTAAAAGAAGCTCTCAGCCTCTAAAAGCGCCAAACCCTCCAATCCCCAAACCCTCAAAAAGCCAAAAACAACCCAAACCGTGGACCCTAACATCCCTAAAATTATTTAACTCCCCACCCTCTCTTGGTAGAGGTACTCTGGGGTTGGGCGCTCCAGGGAGACTATGGGGCTGGGCACTCCGCGGGTTGGGCACTCCAGGGAGACTCTGGGGTTGGGCACTCCAAGAACACTTTAGAGTTGGGCACTCCAGGGAACCTTTGGGGTTGGGCACTCCAGGGATGAGCGAGGAGTAGACTGGGCGAGGAGAAGAGTTCCGGGTGAGGAGAAGTGTTCCGGGCGAGGAGAAGAGCTGAGTTTAAAATCTAATTACCCCTCACCGAGGGTGGGGAAAAACCCGAGCAAACCTAAAACAACTAAACCCTGAACACCCTAACAAACCTAAACACCCAACCCTAACAACCCTAAAAAACCTAACCACCCTAAACCCCAAACCTTCAACACTAAACCTACAAAACCCAAACCCAACCCTCAAAAGCCTAAACCCTAAACCCTAAGCCCTCAAAAGCCCCCTTCTTCAGCCTCTGACAGCTTGACCATGGCATCCACGGACATCGGATGGCCTTTGATCCGATCCTCACGGGCTTTTTCCAGGGGTCTTGGCGTGTTTCGGGTTTATAGGGGCTTTAGAGGTTTAGGGTTTAGACATAGAGGTTTAGGGGTTTAGGGTTTAGGGTTCAGGGTTCAAGGTTTCGGGGTTTAGGGGTTTCGGGTTTGCCGGCTTAGCGGCTCAAGGGTTTAGGGTTTCGGGCTTGGGGCCGACTGGAGGTTGAAACCCTGCAACCGCCATCGCAAGACACCCTAAAGCCCTTCAACTTTACACTTACCCTAAACCCTGAACCCCAAACCCGACACCCTAAACCCTGAACTATCCTCCTACCCTAAGCCCAAAACCCGACACCCTAAACCCTAGATCATCCTCCAACCCTAAGCCCTAAGCCCTAAACCCTAAACCCTAAACCCTGAACCCCAAACCCTAAACCCCATACCATCCTCCAACCCTAAACCATGCACCCTACACCCTAAGCCCCACACCCTAAACCCTAAACCCTAAACCCTAAACCCTAAACCCTAAACCCTAAACCCTAAACCCTAAACCCTAAACCCTAAACCCTAAACCCTAAACCCAATACGATCCTCCAATAAGCAAGCCCTGTTGCAAGAGCGATCTATGTAAGGCCTTCTGGTCTCCGAAGTCTCCCCAGCTAAAGATAGGGAGTGGACCTCGTGCTGCTTCGGGTTTAGGGTTAGGGTTTAGGGTTTAGGGTTTAGGGTTTAGGGTTTAGGGTTTAGGGTTTAGGGTTTAGGGTTTAGGGTTTAGGGTTTAGGGTTTAGGGTTTAGGGTTAGGATTTAGGGTTTAGGGTTTAGGGTTTAGGGTTTAGGGTTTAGGGTTTAGGGTTTAGGGTTTAGGGTTTAGGGTTTAGGGTTTAGGGTTTAGGGTTTAGGGTTTAGGGTTTTGGGCAGCACCGACCTGATGGATTGAGCCACTCACCCCTGGGAACTTTCGGGGGCTTCTGAGCCAAAGCCCACAAGCTCTTAATTCTTGGCTGCACTCAGAAGGGTAGCTATAAACTAAAGTCTTAGCTGCCATATTAAGAAACCCAATAAACCCAAAAAAAGGCTAAGGATCGAAAGTTCCAGTAAAGCACCACAAAGAATTCTCAACCCGATGTCTCGTTGTGGGCCTTTCGCAATCCTCGGGCCGGCCGCGGCCGGCGGTAAGAACAAGGGACATACCGTAGTGAAACCGCCGACTTGTTAGATCAACCTCCAAGTGCTTTGGTTTAGGGTTTAGGGTTGCGGTTTTGGCACAAACCCATCCTCCGAAATCATACGTCTAAGCTGCGGGCCAGTCTGAGTTCCGCAGATAACCTGCGCACAGAGTCTGCAGCACCCGTAGAGCTAAGGGTCTGCAGCGTTCGATGCCGCAAGTTGCGCTTTGGTTTTGCTCCAAAACTCTGACCCCTGACCCTGCAACACAAAGCCACACCAACTCCCCTGTTCGTCTCTCTCTGACTCCGAAAACCAAAAAGGCTAGTAAAGCACCGAACCCTTGCCACTAACCCTTCCTCTTGTCCTGGCTCCTAAACCTTCTAAAGTAACCCCTCCCTGCCCTAAATCCTAAACCCCATATCCCTAGACCCTAAGCCCTGGATCCGAAAACCCTAAACCCTAAAGACACCACCACCCCTCTCTGACCTTGGCGCCTTGCTTCACAATGGCGATCTCAGCAGATGTTTGTATAGGGTTTAGGGTTTAGGGTTTAGGGTTTGGGGTTTGGGGTTTTGGGTTTGGGGTTTGGGGTTTGGGGTTTGGGGCTTGGGGCTTGGGGTTTGGGGTTTGGGGTTTGGGGTTTAGGGTTACAAGCTAGAGGGCTCGGAGGAGGGTTTAAGGTTTAGGGTTTCGGGGTTTAGGTTGTCCTAGAGGCTCGTTTCTTTTTAGGGTTTAGGGTTCAGGGTTCAGGGTTCACGGTTCAGGGTGTAGGGCTTTCGGGCTCATGAGGAGTACGGGATTTCAGGGACCAAAGTGCTCTTGGAATAGGGGGCCTGACCCTCAGCCAAAGCATCGAGAAGCTGAGAAGAAACCCACCCCCAAACCCCAAGCCCAACTCCTGCCACTTAGGGTTTAGGGTTTAGGGTTTGGGGTTTGGGGTTTCGGGTTTGGGGTTTAGGGTTTATCGGGCTTCAGTGGACGGGGTGGTGGTTGAGCACCCTGAATGATAGTATCGACATGCTCGCTGTCTGGACGCAAACAGACAACATACATTCCCAGAACGCTGGCATCGTAGTACTTCTGAATGTACTTGTGCAGGTTAAGCTGCAGGCATTTCTGCCAGCCTGCCAAGTCTGGCAATCGAATGGAAAATCTGTGAGAATGATTTGGGCGTAGATCGAGGGCACGACCTGGATGAGGCAGGGGAGTGCACCGGTCGATTCGACCGTAAGCCTATGTCCGAGCTCGCCAATCGCACCAGTCGCGCACGCCGGTGTACGTTCCCACGCAGTTTTCTGGCCGGTTGAGATCGAATGTTGCTTGCCCCACAAGAGGAAGGGCACTTTCGAAGCCGGCCATGTTTTTGCAGAGCTAAGTCCTGAACCCTAAATCCTAAACTCTACGGCTTAAACCTCGCGCAACATGTCTTCACGCTTGGGGCACAGCGGGAGCCTAGGAACCGTGGACCGAATACCTCTAGCCGAGAACGCTTATTGGGTTTAGGGCGAGGCACGTTGGTATCCATCGAGGGCACAAAGACCTCAGCCCAAAGAATATCCTCGTACCCCCAAAGGCCTGACCCCCAACAAGCAGCGAAATTAAAGGGCTCGTCCCCCAAAACAATGTCCTGGCACCCTCAATCGAAGGCCCAAAGGCCACGTCCCAAAATCACCCCGTGTTGCTTCCCTCGTTTAGTCGTTTCTCTGTGCTTGCCTTGCCTCTTCCTTGGAGCCTGCTGTCGTGGGTCGAACCGCTCGGCCCTAAGCCCTTGAACCCGTAATTCACACCAAACCCTCTAAATCATTAACAAACACTAAGCGCTAAACACCGACACCCATCGACTCTCAACCCACAAGCCCGAAACCCCAACCCGTAAACCCCAAACCCTAAACCCCAAACCCTAAACCCCAAACCCTAAACCCCAAACCCTGAACCCTGAACCCCGAGCTTGCGTTCGGG